TGAACATTTAAAAGAATTGCAGGTCTTGAAATTCCAGGTCATCCTCAGCTACACAAGGAACCGAAGGCCAGCCTAGGCTTCAAGGGAGCGTACCTCAAAAATGAAGAATAAATAAGGAAACATATTCAGTCAGGCAGTGGTGGTGCACACCTTTAATCCCAGCACTCAGAGGCAGAAGCAGGCGGATCTCTGTGAGTTCGAGGCCAGCCTGATCTACAAAAGCTAATTCCAGGGCAGGCTCTAAAACTACAGGGAAACCCTGTCTCAAAAAAAAAAAAATCAAAATAAATAAGTAAATAAATAATAAATAAATAAAATGGCTTCTCTAGGGTGTGTTCACAGAAGTTGCCTGCGGTCTAGAAGCTGGGCTAGTCATTCTGGCCAGCCCCTACACGTCAGCAAGTCTGGAGAAGTCTCACGTTGTTGGTTAGAGTTTCCTGGGTTCCTCTGAATTTGTATCTTCTGATGTAAAAGTGGCTAGAAAATAGGTGATACCATGTTATGGTATTTTGCTTATTTGTTTGGTTTTGCTTTTTGGTTTTTTTTGTTTTTCGAGATAGGGTTTCTCTGTAGCTTTGTAGCCTGTCCTGGCATTCACTCTGTAGACCAGGCTGACCTCGAACTCACAGAGATCCGCCTGCTTCTGCCTTCAAGTGCTGGGATTAAAGGTGTGCACCACGACCTTCTGACTCCCATGCTATGTTATTAATATCCTATTACACTATTACTATCTGGTGGCCTGTATGTCCTGTTCTCTTCTGGTTCCATCCGACAATCAGGCAGGCTCTCAGCGGCAGAGAATGGAGGGTAGGGATGGGGTCTGGCAGGCAGGCAGGCTCTTGGCGGGGTGGGGTGGTTGAGCAGAAATGTTCTACTTTATAAACTACACAAACTGTAAGTCTGATGTTGGACATGGTGACTGTATTCCCAGCACTCAGGAGACCGAGTCTGGAGGATTGCTATGAATTTGAGGCCAGTCTGAGCTACAGAGAGAGTTCCAGGCGAGCTTAAGCTATAATATGAAACCTTATCTCAACAAAACAAAACAGATAAAAAACCTGTAAACTTAAATTATTTTCAGCAAACAGATTTTTTTTCTAGTTACTTTCATCATCCCAAGAGAAGGAATGCAGGGTGGAGAAAGGCTAACTAACCCTGACTGTTAAATTCCTGAGTTTACCTTTCTCTTGGCACAAAGAGTTCAAGGAGGGGCCAGAATCCAGAGGCCCTGCTGGGTTCCCTCAGTGCCTACCCTGCAGCAGCGAGATCAAGCCCATCTGCCAGTCCCAGGAGCTGGGACAGGCTGCGGGGCATTACAGAGTCTCAGAAGCCCGTGTGGATGCACTGTGGTGCCCTCATTGAGGAGGGGGAGTGAGTTCAAGGCCAGCCTGGTCTCCTTAGTAAAACCCTGCCTTAAAAGCAACCTAATAGTGTTAAATCTCATCACTTACGTGCGCATCTGTTAGGATCTCAAAAGCCATTCCAATGAGTTTCTTAGTGCACCCTGCCTTCTTGTCCAATGATGGAGGGCACGGGGCCCACACTGCCATTTTCTCCTTCATTGTTCTGAACCCCAGGAAAGGAAATTCACACTGAATTAACCAGGTGGTAGCCACTCCCTTCGAACAATATGAGATGAGCTGACCAAATGGAGGACAGCCACATTGCCCTATAGCATGTTGGAGCATGGGGCTGCATGCACTTTCCCACTACCAGTGGCCTTGGGACCCTTTAAACCAAAGGATCTACTGCCCACAGAAGTCAGTGTGGATGCCAGTAAGAAGTAAAAGCATAGGGGTATGGACAGCCAGCTCCGTGGTTAGGAGCACCGACTGCTTTGGCCGAGGACGTGGGTTCAGATAGTTCCCAGCAGCAGCGTGGCAGCTGACAACTGTCTGTGACTCCAGGGGACCTGGTAACTTTTTAACCCCACAGACATAACTAATAGACATGGCACACAGACACACAGGTGGGCTAAAACACATACCCATTCAGTTATAAAAAAAAATTACCAATTTTTTTTTAAAATTAAAAAACCGAGTTACGGCTGGGTGGTGGTGGTGCACACCTTTAATCCCAGCACTCTGGAGGCAAAGACAAGTGGATCTCTGAGTTCAAGGAGAGCCTGTTCTATCCAGGACAGTCAAGAGTGTTACACAGAGAAATCCTGTCTCAATCAAAAGTGAAGCCATGCATGGCAGGGTCCACACCTGGGCTAGGCCCATTTGGATTTATGTGGGGAGATTCCTCGGGGTTTCTCAAAGGAATTATGAAGTGAAGATTTAATTTTTCTGACAACAGCCAGATGAGACTCATTTAGGCGTGTCCATGACTTACATCCTTGGGCATTGTGGGCTTTTGGATTTTGTAGATCTTTATGTTTTGAAACTCTGGCTCGTTCTCACACACACCACATACATCACATACATGCACACACACACTCACATACATACACACCACACTATACACCACTCACACATACACACACACAACACTACACTACACACTACTCACGTACATGCGCGCGCACACACACACACACACACACACAGAACCCCTCTGTGTGTCCTTGAACTACAGTGCTATTACTTGTAAGGTATTCTTAGAATAGAAGCTTTCAATGACTAGCCTGTGGTGTTGGTGGGTGGGAGGGGAAATTCGGGCCTCTGAGACAACTGTGACTTTTCTTTCTTTCTTTCTTTCTTTCTTTCTTTCTTTCTTTTCTTTTTTTAAGTTTTAGGTTTTAGTTTTTTTGAGACAGGGACTGTCTATTTAGTCCAGACTTTCCTGGAGCTTGCGATGTAGACCAGACTGACCTCAAATTTACAAGCGATCTTCCTTTCTTTGCCTCCCAGTGCTAGGATTAAAGATGTGTGTGTGTCACCAAGTCCCGCTTACCCGGGGCAATTTTCACACAAGTTTACCAAGAAGTGAGAAGCCTTCTGCCTGCCTTAGGTGGCAGGAGATGCTTGTCTGAGACTTCCCTTCAGTTGCTGCGGGTTTCCTGTCTGCTTCCTCGTGGACTGCCTTGCTGTTCACACCTGGGTCTCTGAGCTGTTCTGTCATCACAGCTGCCGGGGAAAGACACCAGAGCTGTTAGGCGTCAATAAGCTCTAAAAGCAATTACATGGCTGGACTGAAACACTATGAGGAGGCACTGAGGGAAGAGGGGTCCAGCAGCTTGTCTCAGATGTGGGGTGGGGGGTGAGGGAGGGGAGGGGTGCTGAGGGGGAACCACAGCTCTTAGCAGTTAAATTGCCATAAGTGGATTTATCTTCTGGGAGTGTTTGTGTGTACGTGTGTGTGTGTGTATGTGTATGTGTGTACATGTACATGTTTGAACGTTCACACATATATATTCTGCCAAAAAATATTCCATCTGTTTTAAAACCATTTCTCTGAAATAAACAGGCAACTATTTTATCTGACCGTAGTTATGTTCAGTGTGCAGTGGGATTCCCTCCCCTCTTTTCCCTTTCCCTCCCCTCCACTCCCTTCCTCTCCCCTCCTCTCTGCTCTGAGACTTTCCAAGGAAAGTCTATGAATGAAGCAGAAGTTATTTTAGAAGTTTTAGTCTACATGGAAATCCCCTTTTAAAATGTGCACGGCAGTGATAACTGAGGCATTGGAAGCCTTGGCAGTGCAGATGGAAGGCAGGCAGGGGTGCGGCTGTTTTCACAGATCACTGCTGTCTGCTATAAGGGGGCGGGTTTTTGGAGGGAGCTAGGGATGAATGTCACAGGGACTCAGATAATGCACTTGGTGGGGGACTGTCAAAGGCGGAAGGAAGAGCATATGGCCAGGACATGAGCTGACGGGCTGCCAGCAAAGGGGGGAGAATATGGTGGCTAAAACGCAGCCTGGCTAGCTAAGAAGAGTACATACCCTACAGAACCCAAGAGCCCCAGGTAATAAGGAAACACCTGGAAATATTGGGTGATGCTTATTTACGAACAGGGAAGGAAATAAAGTAAGACACCGACACCGGGTACTGTCTGCCCCCTTGGCCTCACCAACAGGAGTGAAATGTGTGGAGGAGTTGGGACTCAGGCTAAGGTCACCCGGTCAGAAGCCAGGGAGAAACTCTGAGAATGAAAACTCAGCTGAGGGGGCTGGAGAGATGAGCTGGGCTGTGGGTCTGATACCCTGAGCCGCTCCCCAAAACTGACTCTAAAGAGCACTGGCTGCTCGTTTAGAGGACCCAGGCCCGATTCGCAGCACCACATGGTGGCTCACAGCCATCTATGACTCTAGCTCCAGGGATCCAATGCCTCTGACCTCCTTGGACACCAGCCCATATATAGGGCATAGATATACGTGCAGACAAAACATCCATATACGTTGAAAGAAAACCTTACCTGAGGGCCCTGGGATGACTTAGTGGGTGAGGGTGTTTGCTACCTGATGACCAGAGTGCAAAATAATCCACATGGTGGAAGGAGAGAACCAACTCCCACAAGTTCTCTGACCTCCACATGTGTGTGTGCCATGCCATATGTACATGCATATACAAGCACGCACACACACACACACACTCATATACAAAATGATTAAGTGTTAAAAATCAAGAGGATAGTGTTAGTATTTAGGCATCTGTACTGAACTGTCTTTGGGGTACTGACAGGATATGTCCTCAGCTGCAGCCACTAAGGGAACCAATGTTGTAATTTAAAAAACAGAAGCAGCCTTAAAGAAAGACACATTGCAGACAGAGCTCCCGTGGAGGGTTTTTGTTTTTCCAGACAGAGTTTCTCTGTAGCTTTGGTGCCTGTCCTGGAATTAGCTCTTGTAGACCAGGCTGGCCTCGAACTCATAGACATCTACCTGCCTCTGCCTCCCAAGTGCTGGCATTAAAGGCATGCACCACCCTGCCTAGCTTAAGACGTCATTTTTCAATGCACTTGTTAATGTGGGCTGTGTGAAGTGGCCTGGGCCCTGGTGTGCCACTGTAGGCTTTTGTTTATTCTGTATAAATCGGATGTTCTTGTTTTTGCCCCAAGGCGCGGCAGCAAGCTCAATTACGCCACCAAATGGCAGAGGACAGCAAAGCCGATTACTCCTCCATCCTGCAGAGATTCAACCAGGAGCAGTGGGAATACTACCATACCCACATTCCCAACATCTTCCAGGTAAGCGCTCCACAGTCGCTTCTCATGTGATGGAGCCTTACTCTGCAGCTCAGGCTGGCCTGGAGGTCACTGTCACCCTAGGCTGACAGTCACCCTGCCTGGGCCTCCTGAGTCCTGGCCTCAGGTGTGCACACCACACCTAGCTTCCCAAATGTCCACTAAGTCATTTACTGGGAGTGGGTGCACATGTATGTGTGTGTGGAGGCCGGAGGCACACTTGGGTATCGATCTGTGTGTCACACGAATGCCTAGTGCCCCTGGAGATCAGAAGAGGGCCTTGAGTCCCCTAGAACTGGAGTTCCAGATGATTGGACATGTGGGTGCTGGGAATCGAACCTAGGTCCTCTGCAAGAGCAGTCAGTGCTCTTAAGTCCTGAACCACCTCTCCACTCACCCACCCTTTTATTTGAGACTGGGTCTCTCAGTGACAGGCTGCAGAGATGGCTCTATAGTTAAAAATGCTTGCTGCTCTTGTACGAGATTGAAATCTGGTTCCCAGAACCCACATTGCCTGCAACTCCAGCTCCAGGGGGCTCCGCCATCCTCTTTTGGCCTCCATAGGCACCTCTGTGAACATCTGCACACACAAGGTATATATAAACCCACACAGACATACACATAAATTAATAAGGTTTTTTTTTAAAGATTTACTTACTTATTTTGTGTATACAAGTGCTCTATCTGCAGGCACACCTGCACACCAGAAGAGGGTATCTGATCTCTCTACAGATGGTTGAGAGCCACCGTGTGGTTGCTGGGAGTTGAACTCAGGACCTCTGGAAGAACAGTCAGCGCTCTTAACCTCTGAGCCATCTCTCCAGCCCAATAAATAATTTTTTTAATGCATTAGAATATGCTGGCTGGCCAACAAACCCATGGAGTCTCCTGGGTTTATTTCTCCAGCACAGGGCTTACAGTTTCACTCCATCACTTTTTATATGGATTCTGGGGATCGAACTCATGCTTGTGCAGCAAGCTCCTTACCTAGTGTAATCCCCCTCCCCCGGCCCCCACTGAGCTCTTTCCCTGGCATGTAGATCAAGCGACGGCCAGCAGTAAGAATGAAGTATATTGCTAACTTGCGGTTCATCAAGTGCCTGTGTAGACGTCCTGGGTCTTCACTGTGCCTGTGCTTTTTGTAGGGGTTGATATCTTACAACCATGCCTCTTAGAAGACGGCTTCCTTTTTAAAGGACACTTGCCTGCAAGAAATGCCAGCTTAGCTTTAGGAGACAAAGCCGCAGTCAGAGCTGTGGGATTTGAACAAACAAGCATTGTTTCCTTTGAATTGTTCTCTTTTCTCTTTTTTTAAGAATCCCTCTGTGTGTGCACACATTATTTATTTATTATTTATTTATTTATTTCAGACAGAGTCTCACTATGGACCCTGGAACTCACTCAGTATGTACACCAGGCTGATCTCAAACTCAGAGATCCACCTGCCTGTCTCCTGAGTGCTGGGATTAAAGGCGTGCTCCACCATACCCAGCCACCTTAGCTTTTGGAAGCGGATTCTCTCTGCTGATCTGGAGCTTTCCGTGTAGCTGGGCTGGCCAGCAGCCCGCTCTAGAGATCCATTTGTCTGTCTCTGCAGCAATGGCCTCACTATTGTACACCACCCCACCCAACCCTGGCAGTTTTACATGGTTAGAGGAGGTTAGACTCAGGTCCTTGTGATTGGGTGGCAAACACATTACCAACTGAGCCATCTCCTCAAGCACCTGGATCATTTCTTTGGCTGCTTTAAGTGGTCAAAAATGACGTGAAAGATTCTAGATGCAGCTCTCTGTGGAACCCTGGTTTGTCACACCTATGCCTGACCTTCCATCCCCAACATGACAAGCAGTTGGGAAGTCGATGTAAAAATACATACACACACTGCCGGGCAGTAGTGGCGCATGCCTTTAATCCCAGCACTAGGGAGGCAGAGGCAGGCGGATCCCTGTGAGTTTGAGACCAGCCTGGTCTACAAGAGCTAGTTCCAGAACAGACTCCAAAGCTACAGAGAAGCCCTGTCTCAAAAAACCCAAAAAAAAAAAGAAAGAAAAAGAAAAGAAAAACCAAAAACCAAACAAACAAAGAAAAAACATATATACCTATATTTCTGTTTGTCTGGTTTTTGAGACAGAGTCTTGCTATGTAGCTCAGGCTGGCCTTAAACTAGTAATCCTGCCTTAGCCTCTAGAATCCTAGGGTTACAGTTGTGTTTACACCATGCCTGGCTCCCCACTTGGGGAACCATTTATGGTTTGAGTTTCAAACGTGGAAAAGTCAAGGTAATTGATTGAAGCAACTCCCCTAGTTGGGTCTGATTGGTTCTCATTTCTCCATGCCACTAAAGAGCCTCTAGGCCACAGAGGCCAGAGCGCTGGTTCTAGCTCAGCCTGGGTTGTTGTGTTGAGATGGCTACTAAAATGTTTTTGTAAAAGGTGGAGCATGCGGGGACGTGAGTTGCTGAGGCTGTTTATAATAAAGCAGAGCTGGATGTGGGGTATGCACTCTTTATTTTTTTTTGCACACTTTTTTTTTGTGGGGGGGTATGCACTCTAATGTAGCCCTAGCAATTGGGAAGTAGAGGCAGGAGGTCAGAAGGCAAAGCCAGCCTAGGCTACATGAAACCCTGCCTCAAAACAGCAAAATAATCAATAATGTCATCAAGCCCCTGTGGTGGGGTCTATAGTCACTGTCATTGTCACTGGGGTAAATTCGTACAAGGCCAGATTCAGGACCGAAGGGTTTTTCGGCTCGTAGCTGAGCATACAGAGCATGGTGGAGGGGACATCATGACAGCGGGAGGAGGCTGGTCACATGGGAAGCAAGGGATGATGGGTGTTAGTGCTCAGCTCACTTGCTCCTTATTTTAATTTCCTGTATTTTTATTTTATATGTGTAAGTGTAGCGCCTGCACTACGGAACGGTATGCAAGCCAGGAACTAAGCTGGAGACTTAAAGACACACGCACACACAGACAGACAGAGACATGGGTCATCCTTGATACAAGAGTGCCAAGTTTATTGCGCTCCAGGGAAGCTTACATGGGATCCTTAACTGGTAGCCAGGCCCCAGCTCTCGGGATCTCTCAGCTGCAGACCCACCAGAACCCACTCCCCTGCCATCAGGGTCTCGTGCTCAGAGCAGCTGCAGGCACAGGGGTTTTGCTCAGTTCACCCCAGCAGGCAAAGGGTCTGAGGCAGGCAACAAAAGTCAAGGGGCCAGGGGTCTGCAGCTCCCAACATGTAAATGTTTTGCCTGCATGCGTGTCTGCACACCACATAACATGTAGTTAGTTCCTGTGGGAGCCAGGAGAGAGCTTTGAGTCCCCTGGGACTAGGATTACAAAGGGCTGTGAGTCCCCATGTGGGTGCTGGGAATCAAACTCAGGTCCTCTGAAAGAACAACCAGTGCTCTGAACCCCCGAACCATCTCTCTGGTCCCCTCTCCTTATCTATAAAAAAATGGTCCTGATGGGTTAGGTGCTTGTACCACAGTGCACACAGTGGACAGAGAACATTCTGTTTTCTCCTTACTAAGCAAGTTCCAGGGTTTTAATTCAGGTTATCGAACTTGGAAGCAAGGACCTAAGCCTGCTAAGGTGTCTTAAGGACCTGATTTTTTTTTTTCCAGTCTAGAACCCCAAGCAAGACACGCCCGTATTCAGTGATTGTAGGTCCTGCCAATTAAAATCGATGTTACACATCACAGGAGTCCTGCTGAAATTGCAGTGCAGTTGTTCGAAGGGCTGACTATGCATCCCAGCTGATCACTGAACTTAGCACAGCCAGTCTATGATGGTATACTAAACCCAATCATTCGGATTCCAATCTGTTCCCCTCAGTATTTGCAGAGTAACAACATCACCCCCCAAACAACTTCCCCAATTAGTAGCAGACCATTTTACACACGCTCTAATTTCTGCAGAAAATCCAAGAGATGGAAGAAAGGCGGATCGTGCGCATCGGAGAGTCCATGAAGACGTACGCGGAGGTGGATCGGCAGGTGATACCCATCATCGGGAAATGCCTGGATGGGATAGTGAAGGCGGCCGAGTCTATCGACCAGAAAAATGTAAGTGTGGTCACTAGGCTTCTCAGGGTTCCATCACCTCTCTCCTCCCCTCCAACACCACCTCATGCATTGACCCTGGGGCAAGGAGCTGCCACGGGTGGGGCAGCTGAACGTGGTCACTATACTTTTGCACCTGAAAGCCCTTTTATGAGCCCTCAGTGTAAAAGGAGCTGCGGGCTGTGTCCCGCCACCTGGCTCCCGGCTAGCTTTATCCGAAATAATTACATGGAAACTGTATTCTTTTAAACACTGCTTGGTCCATTATCTGTAGCCTCTTATTAGCTAACTCTTACATATTGATCTAACACATCTCTAATAATCTGTGTAGCACCACAAGTGATGGCTTACCGGGGAAAGGTCCTAACCTGCGTCTGTCTTAGAGAGGAGAGTCATGGCGACTGCCTCATTGCCTTCTTCCCAGCATTCTGTTCTGTCTACTCCGCCTACCTATGTTCTGACCTATCAGGCCAAGGCAGTTTCTTTATTAACCAATGAAAGTAACACATAGACCTCCATCATTTCCCCCTTTTCTGTTTAAACAAAAAAGAAAGGCTTTAACTTTAACATAGTAAAATTGCATATAACAAAACAGTTATCAAGCAAGAATTACAGTTACAATATTTATATCTACTTTATCTTTTATCATAACTAAGGAAAACTATAACTATAACTAACCATTCTTCAACTCCATCAAAGACTCCAGAAGGATATAATATCACCTAAGTAAACAAGAAATAAGCAACTTCCAAACTCTAGAAATGACAGAGACATTTCGCTGCCTGTACAGTCACCCAAAGTTCCTTTGTACCGTTGGGGCATCCATCTTTGGCCTACAGGCCCATAGTGTCCAGCAGACATTTCATTTCCATGAAGCAGGAAATTTCAAAGACAGTTCAGTCACTATCTGCTGTGTCTTGCAGAATGTCTCATAGACTCTCATAAACCAGGAACCCCAAAAGACCATCTCACCTTTAGGCAAGTTTAGCAGTCCTCTCTCTGTGGGTTCTCTGTGTCCAGTTTATGCAACAGTCCAGGCAAGAGAAGTTTCTTGCCCAAATGGCTAACAAACTCCATAAGGAGCCTCTTCAGTGCCCATCTTCCTCTTGAAGTAGATTGGTGCTGCCAGGAGCAGACGTGTCTCATTGTCATGAAAAGTCCTAAGTTATTAAAACATTTAAAATGCCATATTCTGTAGTCTTTGAAAGATATGAAGAATGCCTATCTAACTGAAATATATCTCTGTATATCTAGAAAAATCTAACATGACTACAAGCTTGATTATTATCGATGATTATCCATTAACAACCTATATTTCCTAATTATACATTACATTTTTAAATGAACTACACAATCACAGTACCTTAATCAAGATCAGAAATACATATACATATAACAAAATTGACCTTAAATTCCATACCAATGCAAATTATTCATATCTATATCATATTCCCCTTTAAATGTAAAAGAACATTTATAAACAATATTTGGGACTATGGACGTAGTTATTTCTCTCCAAACTTCTTCCTGCTGAATAGGGGCGCTGTTAATCCGGTCTTTCATGGTAACCTGTGTGCTAGGTTCATCTCAGTTGGCAATTGAATGAAGTAATTTCTTGAGGGTGTTCACAGCAACCTTTCAGGAGGACGTGGTCTATCATACGTAATATTGGGATAGAAACAATCCACAGGGTCTCATCCTCTGTGAAAACAAAAGAAGACCCTCTTTTCCAAAGCATCATATTTTTAGACTCAAATTCTGAAGTCATAATACCCTTATATCCATTCGGGTTTAGCTTGGCAACCCATATAATGAAATGTCTCTCTGTACTTAGCTCCTTCACAGTCAAAAATTTTAAAGAAAACACAATATACAGAATCCCAACTCTCTGTGAATTTTCCATTTTTACGTGGCTTATTTTTCTTTATTTATTTTAACTATCTGTACTCTATCTCTTTAAAGACTTTACCATTTTTTAAGGCATTAACTTTTTACTTTTCTGTCCCAAGCCTACGTACAGTCATCCATCATTGTGACCCACTTATAGGTCTTAGATGTCTTGTATGTCTGAATCTGCCCTATTGTGAATCTGTAATTTTTTTAGTATCCAGGAGCACTTCTTAATATGCCAAGCAGTTCTTAAAAACTTAAGTTGCACCACATAGAGGTAATACGGTACCGCCTATTTCCAGTCTAAACCTTAACTGCGCTTCTATTATGATAATTACGATCGTTCCTGCCTGAGGTCTGCACAGTTTAGTGTGGTCAAGGGGAGCTGGAGCCATTCCAGCCTCAGAGCCCCTCACAGTTCCAGGCACACAGCAGGTCCACATTGGAGCCGCACTCAGCAGTTTAGCTCTGAGACTGAGTGTGCAGCACAGAAACTCTTTTCATCCAAGTTACAGCCAAATCTGACACGCAGAGCCCTGCGCAGCCTGGAAACATCTCTCTGTATGGAGGCAGAAATCTGCCATGCTCTCCCTCCTGCCTAAGCCTGATTTTGCTGTCTGTCCAGGTGCAGGCGGGGAGCGCTGAGCCATTGGCATGGTCTCAGAGTACTTTCTTCCCGACCTCAAGTGGGCACACAAACATCTGGGCCCAGAAACGCTCCATAGCCGGAGTTTGCACCGGCGGCAGGACTCAGGAAGCCGCGGTTTAAAATGGCGCAGCTTTTTTTCTACCGCTAATGCTGAAACAGGAAATCTCTCTACAGCACGCCCTAGCAAACAGCAAAATTTGTGTTAAACTCTCTTTCCCTTATTTTTAATCTCTCTCAGGTTTTTAAGTGGATTTAGTTACCACGTTGGAGTGCCATTCTGTAAAAAGAGCGGCGGGCTGTGTCCCGCCACCTGGCTCCCGGCTAGCTTTATCCGAAATAATTACACGGAAACTGTGTTCTTTTAAACACTGCTTGGTCCATTACCTCGGTGTTTGGATTTAGTGCCCCGGTCCTTTTGTGCAAAACACAATCGGGGTTGTCACTGAATTAAATCGATTTCTGGGAAGAGATGTGCTTGCAGAGTGAGTGTGCAATGTTTGTCACTAGATGCTGGTAGCATCCCCTCATTGGGACAGTTAGTGCTGTATGATGTTTTACTTTTGTTTTTTGGGAGGGAGCCTGCTACCCAGCTCCCAAATAAATCACACATGGAGGCTTATTCTTACTTATAAATACCCAGTCTTAGCTTGGCTAGTTTCTAGCCAACTGTTTTTTCGTTTGTTTTGTTTTTCAAGACAGGGTTTCTCTGTAGCTTTGGAGCCTGCCCTGGCACTCGCTCTGTAGACCAGGCTGGCCTCGAACTCACAGAGATCACCTGCCTCTGCCTCCCGAGTGCTGGATTTAAAGTTGTGCGCCACCACCGCCTGGTAGCCAACTGTTCTTAAATTAACTCATCTACCTTTTCCCTCTGGGCTTTTGTCTTTTTTTCTGTATACCTTTCTTTATTTCTTACTCCATGACTGGCTGGGTGACTGGCCCCAGCTGTCCTCCTTTCCTTGTTCTCTTACTCCTCATTCTTCCTTATTTCTCCTCCTATTTATCCTTTCTGCCTGCCAGGCCCGCCTCTCCTTGCTCCTGCCTCGCTATTGGCCGTTCAGCTCTTTATTCGGTGTTTTAGACAGGCAAAGAGTCATAACTTCACAGAGTTAAACAAATGCAGCATAAACAAAAGTCACACACCTGAAAATAGTATTCCCCAGCAGGTCAATATCACTTTCAGATGTCGCCAAAAGTCCCCTGGGCCAAACAGTGCTTCGTTTAAAGTCCCCACTCAGTCCCCCTCCCCCCCCCTCCACTCTTTTATTACCTCTGTAGAGTTCTGTCAGTCTGGTGTGTGCAGCTGCCTCAGAATGTTTTAAATGGCAGCTGTTTGCAGGAGAGTCTCGGGCAATGGTGCTTTGTGGCGCTGTTTTTGTTGTGTGTAGAGTTGTGATTGTAAGCTTCCTTGCCTCCCATTGGAGACATGTTAGCTTTTGGCGTCCTTCCCAGATCTCAGCCAAGTTTGTGAGAAACAATTATCGATGCTCCAAAGCGAACAGCATCCTCCCTGCCTCCAGCTACATCCGACAGGCAAGCTCCCTTCCTGAGACGCTCGAGCCATCCAGACCTTGAGTTGGGAATGTTCTTGTCATTGGTTTTAGATCTCTCTCAGAAAAAAAAAAAATTTACAGATCTCGATCAAGCTTCCTTTAATCACTCTGTTTAAAGGCAGAGCATCATGGGAGGCTGATAGGCGATGTGGAAGGCACCTTTGGCTCTCACCTGGAGGCACAGCTTTATGAATTTATCTAGTAACGGACACACTGCTAAGAGGGGCAAATGCCCAGTATCAACAGGGTTTTCTTGGATTGGCCTCTGCGCTCTGGTGTTGATGGGTTGTCCGTGCGTGTGATTGCAGGACTCCCAGCTGGTCGTAGAAGCCTACAAGTCAGGGTTCGAGCCTCCTGGAGACATTGAATTCGAAGACTACACACAGCCGATGAAGCGCACGGTGTCAGAAAACAGCCTTTCCAGCTCGAAAGAAGGCAAGTCAGAGCTGAGGTTTGGCGGCAAGTCCAGAGGCAAGCTGTGGCCATTCATCAAGAAAAACAAGGTACTGGCCGTTCGGACCCTGAGCGGGCTGAGGCAACAAGGAGCAGAGGCTCGGAGTTTATCTTTTGGTCTTAATCCAACGAAGCTCTCTCCTTCCAGAAAGCGAGAGAGAACAGTTAGCGTGCTGCGTTCATTTGACGATGCAAACGATCTCTCTCTGGTGGTGGTGTCTTTGCCATGGCCTCTGTCTTATTACAGATGTGTTGTCACCTGGATGGGTCAGCCACACTAACATCACTGACCTCATGGCCCTTCACCCACCCCCTTCTCCTCCCAGACCGTGGGGCACCTCTGCTGGGAGCAAGGGGGGTGCCCCATCTAATCAAGCTTGCCAGCCTGGGCTTGGTTTTGAATCCATGTTAACCTCTGTCTCCATGAACATTTTCCCATTTTCTTTCCGTAGCGTGGTATGTAGGTGCATGACAGCGCTAACCGGGTGACCTAAAACGGGATGGAGGTGGCATTACTGCATTAACCTTAGGTCAGACTGTGTCTGAGTTTCCCAGGACAGGACTGTCCCGTGGCTGTTTTTCAAAACCTCAGTAATTTAGATCCCTCCCTCCCCTCTCCACCGAACTGTGTTAGTTTAGGTGCGGAAATGTTTTACCTCTCTGGCTTAAACTGGTTTTGGAATGACTAACGAGAGCCTTAGCTTGCATGTGGCCGTCTGCATGAGCTTTGGGTCACAAGGTTCTGCTGTCCTGTCGCCTACTCACTGAGCCTCTCCTTCTCACCCCCTCTTCGTGGAACACATCCTCCATGATTTCTTTTGTACCGTGGCATCGATATTAATGGTTTGTGTTTTACTTGCTTTGGATCTTGAATATGATTTGATGCTTATTTCTGTTTTGTCTTCTCGTTTCTGATTTTTTTTTTCTGTCACCGCTCATCTCTCACATGTAGCTTGTGTCCCTTTTAACATCCCCCCATCAGCCTCCCCCTCCTCCCCCTGCCTCTGCCTCACCCTCTGCTGTTCCCAACGGCCCCCAGTCTCCCAAGCAGCAAAAGGAACCCCTCTCCCACCGCTTCAACGAGTTCATGACCTCCAAACCCAAAATCCACTGCTTCCGGAGCCTAAAGCGTGGGGTAAGTTCCGCTCTGGAGTCCTGCGTCTCTCGCACACTGTGTTGCATGTCTCATTCTGCATAACTTACTTTGTTTGTGAATGGCCCCGGTGTGTTTTCCTATAACATTTAGAGAGAGAAAGCGTGAGCCTCGACTCCCAGAGAGCCACAGAGCAAAAGAATGGCAGAAAGAAAGGAAGGAATAAAACAGAGGGGGGGGGGTGGAGGACAAGAAGGTCAGCAGGCCTGAGATTTTGTGCTCTAGTCCATGCTGGAAGCACCCCACACTTCCCCTTCAAGCCGACCGTTTCCTTCTTGATCTTACCAACTCTGATCAGGTCTCTGAAACTGACAGTGGAGACGATGAGGAAGTGGAAATGACTGGACAGTCAGAAAATATGTGCTGACTAATTCCAGACGGAGTGCAGCGCAGGCTCCACTTGTCCTAAGGAAGCCTCGTGGCAAAGAGGAAGGCAGCCAGGCACACTGGTTCCCTTGTGAAGTTAGAGGATGGTGATAAAGTATCTCTCAACCGGATAGGGCTGAACTCTGTACAGGTCGAGCAGTCCAAATCCAAACTCAAACATCTAAATTGTTTCGAATGCCATCATGATACCGTGAGTGGAAAATTCCACACCTGACCTCATGTGGGGTGTTGTGGCCATAACACAGCACCAGGCTGTGGGCATGGCCAGAGGTAGATGTTTCCCTGAGACCTGGACTCCATCTCTGAAACACAGATACCAGAAGCATGTTCAAATTACATGTTCAAAAAATATACATAAAGCCAGGTAGAGGGAGTGCATACCTTTAATCCCAGCCCTTGGGAGGCAGAGGCAGGTGGATCTCTGAGTTTGAGGCCAGCTTGGTTTACAGAGTGAATTCCAGGACAGCCAGGACTGTTACACAGAGAAACCCTGTCTCAAAAAACCGAAACCAAGACCAGAAAAAACATAAAACATGTGAGTTTCACATTTAAATTTGGATCTTATTTTATCTACATAGATCTCCCCATAAAGTCTGAAGCATTTGTGGCCCTGAACATTCTTTCAGGAGTCACTAAACCTGTATCTCTTCGCACAGGGACAGACACAGCAGCAGTGACATCCATCAAGGCCTCCTCCATTCTCTTCTGAGCTCTCTTTGCAGCAAAGCCAGTATGCAAAGAGAAGCCATGGAGCCAGGGAGTTTGCTCACACGGTCTGAGAGTCTGTGGCACCAGTGGGAAAAATTCTTAGAACACACTTGATGTTAAGACTCAGGTTTTAAAATCAGGTGTGATGTTGCACACCCGTCCTCCGAGCCTTCAGAGGATCAGAAGTTCAAAGCCATCCTTGGCTACATAACAAGTTCCAAGCTATCCTGGCCTACATGAGGTTATGTTCAAAACAAACAAAGAAGTAACAAGCCACCCAGTTTGCAGTACAAGATTGTGTGAGTAAATCACACATAAACCTCTACAGGAATCAGGACAGTCATCCCACATAGATACCAGCTGAGCTCTCCCAAGTGAAACTAAAGGAGAGGTCTCCTGAGCCTTCTCCAGTTGTCCTTACCATAAGCATCTGGGCAGGGTGTGGTGGCTCACACCTGTAATCCCAGCGCGTGGGAGGCTGAGGCAGGATAATGTTAGATTTAATGCTAGCTTGGGATGAAAAGTGAGACCCTGCCCCAAGCAAACAAAAGACCTGAAGCCTGGTGGTCAGTGTTTCACCCACCTGCAGTGCTGTGGTTTGGTCCACCTATGGAGTTTCCCTGCAGATGTAGCAGGCTGCCTTACTCCTGGGGTCACCAAGAAGCTGAGAAGTGACACACTCTATTTTTCCTTCCCCCCCCTTCTTTCTTTCAAGATAGGGTCTCTCTACATAGCCCTAGCTGTCCTGAAACTCACTCTGTAGTCTAGGCTGGCCTCGAACTCACAGGCATCTGCCTGCCTCTGCTGGGATTAAAGGCATGAGCAATCGCTCCCAATCTGTGACACTTGTTTCTATGTGATGCCCAGGAGCTAAGTTACCTAGAGCTGAAGTTGGGTACCAACCTTGGGCTGGTAAACAGCATGGTCGGGCAAAGACAGGTACAGTGTTCCTCATGAATGGAAAGTGTTGTGTTTCCTACTCCAACATCCACTGGAATAGGAAGAGATTTCACACCTGAGCTAATCAGGTGAACATTTGTCCATCTGCTGGTAGCTTTCTCGTCTGCAGAATCCTGTGCTGAAAGGATTCATTTCATGGGCTCAGCGTCCAGTCCATGGCTAACCTCAGCACTCCAGAGGCTGAAGCGTGATTGCCACTAAGCTTAAGACCAGCCTGGGCTTCATAATGGGATCCCATTTCAAAAGAACAGAAATGTTGCTGGGGATATGGCTCTGCTGTAGAGCACTTGCCTAGCATGCAACCCCGGCACACCGTAAAACATGACATGGTGCTGAGCGCCGCTGAGATCGGAAGTTCAAAGGTCATCCTTGGCTGCGGAGTGAGTTTGAGGCCAGTCTAGGCTATGTGAGATCCTATCTCAAAAATAAAATAGTGGGCGTGTGATATAGCGCATCAGCTAAGAGTGCTTGGAGCTGAGCCCTGGCAACCTGAGCTCAGTCCCTAGGACAGAAGCAGTGAAAGGAGAGAACCCAGTCCCCAAAGCTGCCCACTGCCCTCTACATGCACACAATAAGTAAACAAATAAAATAGATGAATAAATAAAAAAAAATAGTAGAGTCCAAACATCAAGGTTGAAGGAAGGAAGGATGCATTTGAGAGAATTATTTTGCTTTAAACAACTTAGTATATCAAGTTAAAACTCAGAAGTTTGGGCTGGTGCCGTGGTTCAGCCTAACAACCTCCATGGTGGAAGGAGAGAACCAGCTGTCACAAGCTGTCCTCTGACCTCCACATTCATTCACGCCTCGGTACTCAAATGTCCACATATACACTGCATAAATAAATGTAATCATTTTTTATTAAATCAAATTTAATTTCCTAAAACTGTCAGGAGAGCCACTGTCAGCAGGCAGAGTAGCTTCAGCAGAGGGTGATGGATCGTGCTGAGCTCTGTTGTTGGGTCTGGCCGAGCAATCCGCAGCTTCTTGCCTTGATTTTGCGGGCTTTTAGACCTCCACTCTTCATCAGAGAATTTCCACGGATGTAACCAGGGTGAGCCAGGCTCAGAGTCAGTTACATCATGTGACCACATAGTCACTTGTGTTTGTAAACATCCGCATCTGTCTGTCAGACGCTCACGATGAAATGTGTCGGGTGTTCTCGCAGTCACCATCCATTTGCTTCTCTGGTCCACGATGCTACATCACACGGTCTACTGGTCATCGATGGTTTCTGTGTCTGTGTTCATGGCGTCCACTAAGTGTGTAGGCAGAGAATGCCTGCTTTCAATTAGTACAAGAAAAGATGGTTTAAAAAAACAAGTCTGATTTAAAGGAAGATTTTTTTAAAAAAAAAAATAAGCAGAATGAATTTTATTTCTTACGCCTCAAATCTATGTTTAGCAAATTCCTTTTATGGAAATGTTCCTGGATGGTAAGTGCCTTCTCCCAGTGACAAGTGACCTGCGAGAAGCTTCGATATTGAGGGGCATGGAGAATAGTTGTGCCTCCATCACTAGTGATGAGCCCTTGGGGTCAGAGCTGATGCTTCTTACGGGAGAGGGGGGGAAGGGAGGAAGGGAGGAAGGAAAGGGGAAACATTAAGCCTTGGAAAACATTACAAACCAAAGTCTGGGGAATTAGACCAGGTTATTCAGCAGCCTCCGTGTGGGAGGCACTGGGTCCATGATGAGTGGAATGGAGTCCTTGCTTCCATTTTGTTTTCTCTTGTGCTGGAATTTGAGACGGCCGCTCCTGATCTGAGACGCTCAAGGGAGGATCCCGGGAGAGTAACTGTAACCGTGGTGTGTCTTTTTGTTTTGATCAGGTGTTTTCATTTTATTTTTTGTCTGTGTGTTTTGCTTGTGTGCATGTCTGTGCACCACTTGTGTGCCTAGCTAGCACCTTCAGAGTTCAGAAGAGGGCAATGATACCCGGAACTGGAGTTAGCTATGGCTGTGAGTCACCATGTGGGTGCTGAGAATCGAACCCAGATCCTCCCCAAGAACAGCAAGTGCTTCTAGCCATTGAACCAAGTGTCTTGTACCCTGTGGCGTACCTTTTAATTTCATTTCACATTTCACAGCCTTCAGGTTTGAATTCTAAGTATCTGGTTTAATTATCAGAGTGTGGAAATTGTATGAACCCATTTCTTTCTTTTTCTTTGTTTTTTTCTGAGACACACCACCACACCTGGCTCAATGTGCAAATATTTCTTAACATAGCTTAGTTTATTTCTGAATAATTAAATAAGAGTAAGTATTTTGGATTGTTTGTTGTTGTAAGCTATTTTCTGGGGGTATTTACAGAGAGTCTACGCTGACAGACCTTAGTATTCCATCTTTACATTAGTAAAAAAAAAAAAAAAAAAGATTAAGGTAGAAAGAGTATCTTCAGAGCTGAATGTGGATGCACATACCTGTGATCCCAGCCTCTAGGAGGTAGAAACTGGAGGGTCAAGAGTTCAAGGTCACCCTCCATTACACTCAGAGTTTGAGGCCAGTGTGAGCTGTATGAGAGGAAAACCAAAGGGGAATGGGGGAGATAGAGATGGATGGATGGATGGATGGATGGATGGAAGATAGATAGACAGACAGACAGACAGATGTTTGATTGATGATAGACTGATTGATTGAGATATATAGGTGATAGATTGATGGATATGTGCCCAGATAGACAGATGGATAGATGGAAGAATGATAGATGGATAGGTAGATAAGAACATGTCCTGAACTTGACTATACAAAGGCAAATCTTAAACAAAGATTTCCTTTCGCCTACGAATAGCAATTTTCTAGGTAAAACTAGAAAATAAACCTCCTGTATTTTAACATTAACCTTAGGAAATGCCTCCAAAGTAGAACAAGACGTTTTGGAAATCTGTTGTTGTGTGTCATATTTTGAATGTGCGGTTCTTTTTTTTAATCTTCCTTGTTTTCTTGCTGGCTGTCGGCAGACTCAGTCTTTGTGTTATCACAGAGAGTTCATGAAGAGGACTCTAGGGAAACCCACGCATGCCTTTGAGGCTAGGGACTATGTTGTAAGTCTGCCTGTGCTGCAAGAATGCAGTCACAGCCAAGCCACTAACCCCCTGGACAGCGCCAAGACTGGGGACACAGGTGCAGCTTTAACACTTCCATCCCACTGAACAAAATTCCAAACCGAGACAACTGCACGCCAGAGCAAGGAGGGGGTCTTATGGTATAAATCCAAAAGCTGTTTTATCTCCCAACTTGCATAGAGAAACCCAGGCTCCCTGATGGACATCCAATGCCCCAGTGACATCCACTGAGTGGGCTCACTGTCAGAATGCCCCCTTTTTGGCTTAGTTCTGGTAAAATCTTTAAAAAGCCTGCACCTGAAATGTCCATGGTGTCCCTGGATATGAATTCATGACAGAGATTTACCCATAAAACCCAGCTGCAGAGTGTAGTCACCGGAAGAGACAGTTTAGGGCATAATGATGTGACCATGAGGAACCCACATCTGTTGGTGCAGCCAGCTGGTTCCTGGGGAGTCATGCCTTGTGCTTGGAGAACAAAAACTCAAAGAGGTACGAGCAGAGAGGGTCCCAGTAGGTGTCACCAAAACGTTTGTGCTTAGGCACTTACTGTCCCCTCTCTTTGCGCTTGTGGTTGGTAGCTGTGACCATCCAATGACACATGGGCAAGCTGGCTCTGTGTTATTGATGCTTGCTTCTCCCAGAGCCCCTAACTGTCGCCTGAAGCTGATGGTGTTTGGTCCCTCGGTGTCTGGTCACACACTCCATGAGGCCTTTGCCTTTATTCTGCTAGGAGAAGACTTGCTTTCTAATCAGAAGTGACCTAATTGACTGGCTTAGGACCAGTAACCTGAAAATGCTTGCTCGTGTTTAAAAACGAATTCCACACTTTGCGGTGGCACCTCCGGCAGGTGGTCTGTCACCACCCACTTCAGAAAAAACGGAATTTGAGAGTTTTGTTGTTTCCAAAAGCCAAGTGCAAGATTTAGTATTTCCTGTTTCTATTGGAGCTAATGCCCAGTTTTAATCACTTGTTCTTTTTTTTTAAGATTTATTTATTTATTTTATGGATATATGTTCTTGTCTGCATGTACATCTGCACACCAGAAAGAGGGCATTGGATCTCATGACAGTTATGAGATGGTTGTGAGCCACCATGTGGGTGCTGGGAATTGAACTCAGGACCTCTGGAAGAGCAGCCCATTCTCTTAACCACTGAGTCATCTCTCCAGCCCCTAATTACTTGTTCTTATTTTGAAGTGGTAACCTTTTATTGCTTCACAAATTTGGTTCTAGGAGATTTCAGTTATAATCTCAAGTTGTGGAAGGGAGCCCTGTGGAGAGCAAATAGTGAGTCAGGTTCTTGGAATTCGCAAGAAGACTGACTGCGTGAGGAAATACTAGTGTGCGCTAGCGTGCTTCATGGGGGCCGTCCCCTGCTCTACACCGTGAGTGCCGTCTGTCTGAAGGCGAGCTTGGCTTGTGATGGACAATCTGTGCGGGAGCTCCAGGAGGCTCAACAATTCATGGCCAGGGCCTGTGCAGACTTTTGAAAAGCTGTCCTGTTACTCTCTTCCTTCCGTGTGGGAATAATGTCTTTAAAAGGCGATTGCCTATTTACAAAGAAGTGTTGACCTTGTTTGTTTGTTTGTTTGTTTGTTTGTTTTGGGACAGGATTTGTGTAGTCCAGGCTGGCCTGGAACTCAACTGTGTAGACCAGGCTTCTGCTTCCCGAGCGTGAGCCACCAAACCTGGTTAGAAGTATCAACTGTAAATAACCTTAAGAATGGAAAAGTACAAAAGTTGGATGAGAAATTTTAACCCCTCTCTATGCAGCATAAAAATCCAAGTGTGCTTTCTTTGACATTTTGTCCTCTGGGTGTGTCTGTACCCTACTATTTTACTAGGACCTCCGCATTGCTAGAGACCAAGTCCGTGTCCTGTGCTGAACTCTCCATGTGGGTCTTACAGAATCTTGTTTCTGTTTCGTTGCCTTCTTTTAGCCTCTGCAGACACCATGCTCACTATGTTTTTTGTTTGGTTGGTTTTGGTTTTTCGAGACAGGGTTTCCCTGTGTAACAGTCCTGGCTGTCCTGGAACTCGTTTTGTAGACCAGGCTGGTCTGGAACTCAGAGATCCACCCGCCTCTGCCTCCCAAATGCTGGGATTAAAGGTGTGCATCACCGCGCCTGACAAAATAAAAGGAAAAATACTATTAAAAAGTGTGAGAGGGTGTGTTGGGGAGCGTGTCTGTGACCCCAGCACTCGGGAGCAGAGGAGAAGCCTCTCTGAAACTCTGAGGCCATCCCAGCCACTGCTGACCATCGGGTAATCCTGTCTCAAAACTAAAACTTGAAAAAGGATCTGCCTAGATGTCCTGGGGGAGATTCGGTGGACAAAGTGTCGTGTGGTTCTCTTCCTTTCAGGGTCCTTGTGTGTCACCGCTGTGCCTGGCAGAGTTAGGGCCCTGGGTTCTGTCCCCAGCAAACTGGTTCTCATGGGGCGGCAGTGCAGGGTCAGGAGGGCTCTCCTCTCACACCTTGTCGTGGCTCTGGCTCCCAAGTCACCCAGACATTTCTGTTATAACCAACCCCTCCTGTGAACTTCTGCACAGATCTGCCCTGGCCATTTTCACAAGTTGGCAGGTGAGCTGATGTTGCGAGTCCTGTGGGACTGGCCAAGTGCCCCCTCTTCTGACCTGTGTTTTTTTTCTCTCTCTCTCTCCTTCTCTCTTCCTGTTTGTTACCTCTTCAATTTTTCCGTGAAGCTTTCTCTCAAGCTGGTAAGCATAAAGTCCCCCGTGCATGTCCCTAGTCTAATCGGGTTTTGGTGTGTGTTATAGATGCTATGCCCTGGGCAACCTGCCTCCAGCATTAACTGCTCACATTCTACTCTCCTCCGGGTGCTTTTGTTGGTGTTTATTTGACCTCTGGATGTGTGACTGTCTTATTCACTAAGAAAATTAATACTTAACGTGACTTGGTTCTCCTTGCTGTGGGGGCCTTATGACTATGCCAAGTATTAATCAACTGTTGATAATTAATCGAAATATAAAGGTCAGAAATTGGGGAATGTTCCTACTGGATCGATTTAAATAGATGGAAGGTACTTCTTCCTGGGAACCACTAAAGGAGACACTTGGGAGACAGAGGCAGGAGGATCTCTGTGAGTTCGGGGCCAGCCTGGTCTACATAATGAGTTCCAGGTCAGCCAGGGCTACAAGAAGAAACCCTGTTTAAAAACAAAACAGAACAACCAACCAAACTAACTAACAACAACAAAAAAAACCAAAACCACAAAACACACACACACACACACAAACAAACAACAACAACAACAACAACAAACCTAGGAGCTGAAGGAGACACTTGGGTGTGTATCACGCCTGTAGTAACTACTCAGGTTTTTGGTAGGAAAGACCGGCAGGAACTGAGACCTCCTGAGGACCTGCACAGGTCTCTGGGTGCCTTGGGTAAAGGTGAGTCCAGAGGCCACAGATCCTCTGATGAGCTGTCTGCCTAATGTCTGTGTCTTGCTTTTCCTTCACAGTGTAGCTCTAGTGAACAACCAGAGTAATTGTTTGATTTATTAAAGAAAAATCCTAACCAGCATAACCCACTATGTTTTGAGAATGAATGAGGACTGGGAACCTGGATCCTTTCAGAATACAAACCCTTCACTAGCTCAGGAGTAAGCTGTTCCTTCCGTGCCATTCTTTGAAGTCAGTGATAAAACGAAACACTGGGAGCTAGAGCGAAGCTCGGTGGGTAAGAGCGCTTGCCCTTACAAGCATACGGACTCGAGTTTAGATTCCCCGGAAGGTTCCTCTTTAGTGGCACCGTCTCAAAAGCCAGGTCATCCCAGCACTGAGGGGTGGGGAGAGGTGAGCTCCAGAGGTGCACTGGACAGCCAGCCTCACCGAAAAGCCAGTCTCAAGGCTGTAAGGTAGAGAGAGGGAAGACGCCCGACTTCCTGCTTGGGTGACACCTTAGTATACGCACGTCCACAAACACACAGAGACGTGGTGAAGTGTTGGGTAGGAAATGGGTTATCTCTGTAAAAGCAAATATCTCAAGAACCTGTTTCACCCAGGACTTATACCCAGGAGCAATGTAGGTGCCATCCTGAGATGAAGCAAGGCTGAAGACAGAGCCATTTAACCTGGGTGTGTGTAACCACACCTTCCATGGCTGGTTCCACCGTGCCGCAAACTGGGCTATTCAGTCACGTCAGAGACATCCTTGCTGACTCAGAGCTAGAAACCCCAGCTCCACAAAATGAGTCACACGCCAGAGCTTTGAGAAAATGTAAACTTCAAAAGCCTAAAGGGGTGAGACGCCCTTCCTACCGATCCTGAGTTTATATGAGAAGCTACTGACTTGAATCGCCATAGCAACCAAGGTTTGAGGCTTTTCCAGTGACTTATTTTCAAATAACAACGGTATTTGAATAGCGAGGGTAGCTGTTGACAGGGACCTGGCTGGTCACTTGTTGCTTTATCAGTTGGAGATAATGTGTAGATCAGCTAGGTCACCAGTGCTGTGTCTGCTGTGGCTGGTCACAGGCCACCAGCCCAGAGTGTTCCTTACAGATGTCTCTGCCATTTAGATGTCATCCAAGCCTCACACCTGTTCTACATACACTCCAAAGATCCAGGTCACTGCGGAACTGGCCAGGTTCAAGCGCAGGCAGTCTCTGCCGCTTCTGTCCCAGACACTGCAGCCACGCCCTTTCCATCACCACAGGCAGGGCTAGAGGGCCCTCTGGCCATGGACAGATGGCCTTGCTTTCACAGGCCAGTGACTTGTATTGAATTTTGTTACATCCCAGATTTTAAAAACAAGCAAACAAACACCTCCAGAAATCTCAGCCAGTAAGATAGATCTGAAGGTGAAAGTGTTTGTAAGCCTAACAGGAGAGCTTGAGTCTAAATTTCCAGAACTGATGTAAAAGCCCCATGCCCAGCATGCATGCCTGCAAGACCAGTGCCCTGTGGGGAGATAGAGCATGCAATGAAGACACTTACTCTGTCCAAACAAGGGGAAGATAAGAACCCAGGGGACGGGAGGGAAGGGGTTATGTGTACATGTGCAATTTCAATCTAGAAAACAAGTATCAGGGTCGCCAAGATGGCTGGGGGCAGGGGTGCTTGGTGCTAAGCCCCACTAAGCCCCCATGGCCTGAGTTCCATTCCAGAGACACACATGGTTGAAAGATGGAGCTGACTCCCACAGGTTGTATAGTAAATAAAAATTGTGAAGACGGGTTTCCCTCCCAGCCCAACACCTGAATAGAAGGACCAGAAAGATAGACACAGAGATTTTCAAATAGCACACACGAGAGAAAGAAACCGCCTCAGCCTCCATCATACTGAGGGACCCGCTTGCTTGGCTCCGAGACAGGAATGTCACCGCCCTCTCTCCCCTCGACCAGCACACACACTCAGGACGGGGCTCTGATCTCCATTTGGCCTAAGAGGCAAATATTTGCTGACTCGTGTTCTTCCCAGCCCATCCATCTTCCTCATAATCGACCTACAAGCGGCTGTCACAAGCCCCCGAGTAAGCCACTTGGCAAATCCCAGTGGATTCCGGAATCACATTCCCTGGGCCCCCTTTCTTCCCGCCCCCAAGTCAATCTCGCCCTTGTTTGAAAAGAATTGAGGTTTTCAAGTAAAATCTCACTTGTAAAATCTCTCCTGGCTTTCACTGGGCCTGTTGAATACATCTCATTCTTTACGGAAATGGCCTCACTTGAGGAAAAGCTCTTGGCACTGCAGTGAAGCCACGGCTCTCCATCAAAGGAGGCAGTCTTTGGAAGGAGACCGGCTCCTGGTGTCTCCTACTGAAAGCTCGTGAACAAAGGCAAGAGAGCAGTGGGATTTTCAGAGAGCCCAGCCAGGTGTGGCGGCTCCTGTCCGCAGCCTGGCGCTCAGGAGGCCGAGCCTGAAGGACTGCTTCAACTCAAAGGCCAAGCTGGTCTGCCTAGCAAGTACCAGACCAAGCCAGTGATAAAATCTGGAAGTGTGTGGGGGTAGGGTGAGGGGCTGGAGAGATGGCTCAGCAGTTAGGAGAATGTATTGCTCTTGCGAAGGACCCAAGGTCCCAACGCCCACATCGTGTGGCTCACAACCACCTACCTGTATCTTGTTCCAGGGAAATCTGATGCCCTCTTCTGGACTCTGCTGCCACCATCCCACCTGTCCACATGTGCGGGCACACAACTTTAAAATAAAGTCTTTTAAATTGGGGCAGGGGACCAGGAGCCAGATGTGGTGGTTCACAGCTATAATGCCAGTACCTGGAAAACCACATCACCATGAGTTTGAGACTGTAGCCTGGGACAAAATGCTTGGGTAGTATGCAGAGGCCCCAGGTTCAGCTTTGCAGGAAAGGGGGTGGTAAAACACTCCTGACCGTAAAAGTGGAGGAGGATGGTTTTGTTCACTGGAAAGTAATTTTGAGGTCCCAAGGGCAGGAGGGACCAGAAACATCAGAAGGGGATAGATGACATGGGTTTGTTTTGTTTGTTTGTTTGTTTTGGTTTTTTTGACACAGGGTTTTTCTGTAGCTTTTGGAACCTATCCTGGAACTCACTCTGTAGTCCAGGCTGGACTTGAACTCACAGAGACCCACCTGTCTCTGCCTCCCAAGTGCTGGGATTAAAGGCATGTGCCACCACTGCCCCACCTGCTCACATCCTTAAAGGAAAGTGACAGGCTCCTGTCATTTCCCAGGGCTGGGAACTCTGCCTCAGCCTTGAGAGGAGAGATGGGAAGGAATACCTCAGCTAAGGAAGGAGCAGAGGTTCAGACACAATGTTCACAACAACTGGATTATATTACAGAAGCGCCAGCTTCCTTCTCTTCGGGAACGGGTGGGAATAGTCAGAAGATGCAAATGAAGAAGTCCCCACATTTGTTTCTGGGCTGCCCTCCGAGTCAAACCTGTTTCCTCCATCTCTCTTCCCTGGAGTGTGGCCTTTCCTGCAGCGCTCTGGCCCTTGTAGATGACAGGCAGTGGTTGCGGGACTTTTGAGTTTTGCATGTATTTGATTTTCACGTCTCAACTGGTGTGGCAGGAAAGCATAGCTGGTTGTGGGAAGCCTCTGCAGGTCTGCAGGCTCAGTTTGCCACCTCCTGCCCAGGAGCACCTCAAGGCTTTCTGGCTTCTCACTTCTGTTTGTGTCTGCAGGGTGCCACACCAGAAGACTTCAGCAACCTCCCGCCCGAGCAGAGAAGGAAAAAGCTGCAGCAGAAAGTGGATGATCTCAATAAAGAAATCCAAAAGGAGACGGATCAGAGGTAGGATGGATCAGTGTGCCCTGTCAAACCACCCAAGCTTGTGGAAAGAGGAAATATGAGAATAGATGTGTGTTTGTGTGTGTGTGTGTGTGCGCACACACACACACACACACGTGCACACACACACACACATACAGTGCTTTAAAGGCCAGAAGAGGGTGTCAGAACTCTTGGAACTGAAGTTAGAGGCAGCTGTGAGCCACCAAATATGGATGTTGGGCACCAAACTTCAGTCCTCGTAATAAAGCAGTACATATTCTTAAATGTTGTCTCTCTGGCCTTAAAATGGATAGAAAGGTGTTGTTTTGGTAGGTGCTTTGTCTGGTTTCTCATTGTGTGCTGGGTTTCTCACTGAGTGCTGGGTTTCTCATTGGAGGTTGTATTTTGAGTCTGGGGAATGAAACGCACTTGGCTAGCTTTCCAATTTCTCTTTTGTCCTGAGTGAATGGGTGCGTTTTGTTTCCCAGGGTCATGGGCTGGATGAGCCCCTCAGCGACACTCAGCCTTGAGGTACAGGTGTTGGTACGGCTGTCCTTTCTGCAGCAGTTGAGGCGCAGGTGGCAGGCGTGTGTATCTCTTGAAGCAGATCATATTGTTGCCTCTGTTGTATTGCTGAGCCGACTGGTGAAGGAATAGTTCAATTATACCACAGCACAGGCGCAGCGGCAGGGGTGGCAGTGGGCGCAGGGTGGACTCTTCCTGGGTGTTGCTGTCATACAATCCGCAGCCGTCCTCCAGCGGCTTACCTTCCGGTCTCAGCCTCTGCTGGTCCAGCGGGACGTCTTTCTTGTCTTGGATCTTCATCTTGATATTTTCAGTGATAATGTCACTGGGGTCCACCTCAAGGGTGATGGTCTTGACTGTCAGGGCCCCTGTGAAGAAGTTCTGTATATTGGTGTCGGCTAGGTTGCCTCCATACAGGCAGTCTCAGGAGTTTTCTCTCAGGGGCCAAAGGGGTCTTTGGTCATTTGTTTTTGTTTTTGTACAAAGAATGGAAAACGGCATGAGTTCCACCTCTTACTTCCTCACATCCTGCTTTTGAGTCTAAAATCTGTTTCTTTATAGTTGAGACTAATTTAGTGTCAGCCTTCCTGCAGGTTCTCAGGTCTCCTTCCCCTCACTCCCAATCCCTTCTTCCATTTGTTTGTTTGTTGAGACAGTCTCTCTATGCAGACCAGGCTGGCCTCAGACTCACAGAGACCTGCCTGCCTCTGCCTAACCCCGCGCTGGGCATGCGCCACTGTACCTCTTGTTGTTTGGGGGGTTGTTTGTTAGCTTTGGATAGAGTCTCACCCTGTAGTTCAGCCTCGCCTGGAATTCATTGTGTTGCCTATGCTGGCCATAGCTCAAAGTAGCAATCCTCCTGTTGCAGCTTCCCAAGCACTGGGACTACAGGTGTAAGGCCCACATGTCTTTTCTTTTCACTGACTGTTTCAGTGGTCTGGAAAACAAACCACAGCTGGTCTGCGCTGGTCTGCTCTGGTCTGCGCTGGT